TTTAAATATTATTATGTTCCAGCTTTATTTCTGCTCTTCCCTTGCTTTATGGTCTTTTTTCCTGCTTTCTTTAACAGAGCTCCAAAGCCCTAGCTGAAGATGCTTTTAGCTCAATTATATTTGTTCACAAATTAATTAAATATATGTTTATTCTTTCTGGTTTTTTTCCTATTGTTCAGATTCATGCATGTTTTATAGAGAGCTTAAAGTGCTGTGTGTAGTGTCTGTGCTTACTGCTGCCTGCTTTGTTTTATTTAGGATGGAACAAATGGTGTTTGGTATTTCCTGCACTGGACTGGGCAGACTGGATCCAGGAAGGACAGAGAGACACTGAGGCATAGACCACATTTGCTACTGGAATAGAGCAGGTGCAATGGGAAAAACAAGTCCTCCTAGACCAAGGGTAAGTTTGATTCTGAGTACTGATGTGCTGCATAAAGGTATGTCGCTACATCGGCTCTTCACAGACCGGATTCGTACACAGTCTTTATGGTAATTTTAACTGAAATCAAATCTGACATGGTGGTTATTTAGAAGAAACATTTGTGAGGAGATCACCAATTTTTCCTTAAAATGAAATTTATTCAGGAATGTACTGTATGTTGTAAAGTCACCCACCAGAAAATGGCACTTCCAGTGTTTCAGGAAATACTTTGTGTCTACACATTCTCTCAGAAGAGGCACAGTCATGCTTAACAGACTCTCAACTTGACCCACTTTTTTTCATCTCTGTGCAAAGCCCATGTATTATTCATGCCTTCTTCTCTCTTTTTTTTTAATGTTTTCCAAATAAATGATTCAGGGGGCTCTTTTTTTTTTCCTATAAAGAAGCCAGTAGTCATACTTTGTGAATAATTCTTGCAATAAACAGGCATGCCAATAATGTGGAAGAAACATCTTGCTTGTTGTGAGAATTACAATCAGTAATGTGTTTAAAATCATAAACTACTTTGTGTCCACATAGTTGCTAATTTTCAAAGGAAGACTAATATACTTGCAGTAAGTCCATTCAATATAAAAATCTACCTAATATAACTGTATGAAGAAGGATTATCAAGATTCAATGTATTGCACAAAAGTGGCAAAAGGTGTTAAGCAATTGTTTAAGGTAAATAAGTATTCCCAAGAAGTCACCTTGTGTAAGAGGTTTTCATAGCAGTTACAGAACATAAACAGTTTGTAAGAACTTCTATGTTATTATTAATGTTAATAAAGATGATTTTAGTTTCAAATTTGAACAGTCAACCTTAAAAGTAAAATGACTGGGGTTAGTTCATTTTCTCTCTTTTTTTCTCTGCAAAAAGAGGAGTTATGAAGGTAATGTGGCAGAGAACAGACAAGTCCTAAAAGTAACACCAGAGTTTGCAGCTGGAGCACATGCTGAGGAAAAGCATGTGTAGTTTTGCCCTGTAAGGAGTTAGGTTTGGTTACTTTGCTTGACTGAATGGTTGTTGTCTTTGTGTTTGTGACAAATAGTGAATATATTTTAGTGGTTCTGGTTTTCTTAAAGCTTATTCTACTTCAGGCTAACAAGGAGCTGCTCAGGAAGGGGTACCAGGGTGATAATACATATGTTTGCAAACTGTATAAATCAAAAAGTGGTTTGGATTACAGATTAAAAACTCAGGTTTAACAATTGTTGTACCAGACAGATCTGGGAGTTTCAAACATCAGCCCTAAGAATCCTTCAAATTGCTTCTTTTTTTGTTGTTACAGTGTAAAGCATTTAACTGGATCGATATAATGTATTTAAGACCAGAAGGAATCTTAAAACGTATTCAATGGTTTATCATAGACATGTTTCAAATTACTTTGTAAAACCTGAGATTTCAGTAAGTGGAATTAGAGCTTTCCATGCTACTAGTGCTTGTTCTAATTAAAACAGGACAAGTGTTTTAATTCAGAGCTGCAGTGTTCAAGTCAACAAGGTAACTGAATTAAAAAATTCCCTGGGAGTATTAAGTGCAAACATTGAATTCGGGTTTTTTTATGCTCAGTTGTACCTGTGATAGCAAATGCTTTGTGCTAATGGATTTTTTTTTCTAATAAATTTCTTTCTGATGTCTGACATTTACAGAACAACTAATGATACAGAGGACAATGCGCAGTGTGTATCCTGATGACATCTTTTGTGCTGTGACATGGTTTTTGTCATGGCATCTGAGACTGAAAAGGCCCATGCTCTCCTCCAGACTTTCAGCACAGCTTCAGTTATTTCTAGTCTAGGTTTGGGGATATTCTGCTTTGTAGCAGACAGACTCCTGCAGTTTTCCTTCATTCAGCAAAATGACTGGCTCCGAGCCTTGTCTGATAATGCAGTGCATGGTATACTGGGAATGTGGTCCTGGGCCATAGTGATTGGCCTGAGGAAGAAAAGTGACTTCACTGAGGTCACTCTGGCTGGCTTCCTCGCCTCTGTCATTGATGTGGACCACTTCTTTCTTGCTGGATCTCTGTCATTAAAGGTAAGTCAGTAGATCAGTAATTTGTTTGTTTTATTTCTCCATCACTGTTGACTTTATTGTTCCTGTACCATATCCGAAACTGAAAAAAATGAAATGAGAATTTAATTAAATACATTTAGTGGATATATGGAAATTATGCTTATATGCAATTGTGACAATCTAAAAAAACCCAAAAATATTTTACATCTACTCTTAAGTTTCTGCTACTTAGAAGGCTCTGGGAAAAAAGTTCTGAAAGCCCTTGTACATGATTTCTTACACGTATCCCCTAGTTGTTTTCTTACCTGATTTAAGCAGTTAAGTGCTGTCTTGTGCATTTTTGTGTATAAAGAGGCTTATCCCATTTCTGTTTTCAGTCAGTGGTAAAAATATCTGAAATGTGGGGTAGAAATATCTGAAAAGTGAATGGTCAAGCTGCTGTTTGATTTCATAGAATCATAGTATGTTAAGGGGCTGGAAAGGACCTTAAAGACTTGCTCCAACAGTTCCATGTCCTCCTTATGTTGGGGACACCAGAACTGTGCATTATTCCAGTTCTGGTGTCCCCAGCATAACATTTCATTCAGTTTTTCTGAGGAGTACATTTGGGTTTAGCCGGCCCTAATATTTCTCCCCCAAACAAGATATATATGACCTGTCACCTTTAAAAAGGCAGTTTGAACTGTCCTTAAGTATAATTCATTGGGGAAAAAAAAGAAAAAATTAATAGAGCAAATGTTGTCTTGTTAATAAAGGTAAAAAAGGTGAATTGGCTCCTGTTAAGGAATGGATGGATCATCATTCATTTGCAGAACTGCTTGTTAGGACAGAGTTGCTTAACAGGATTAGAACAACCAAATTATGGCATTATTTTCAGTGGTTTCCCACTGGTTTGGATGTATCCTGTTCCTGCTTCCCCCAACACACACATATATCCCTGTCTCCTTTCCTGCCACAAACACATATACCCAACTTTTGCTGACCACAACAGTCTGTTGTGTATACTCTCACAAACATTTGCACCTGCAGTAAGCTCTGGCTGTGCCAGCCCTGGCCACAGCTCCCTGGACACTGCCCTCCAGATTTCTTATCTCAGGCAAACACTCCTCAGCTCCAGCTGGTTCCTGGTCCTGATAGCTCCTCTGCTTGTCCTCAAGAATTAACTCTGCTCAGCAACACAATTCTTCATGGTTTGATTATGCTGGTGTTACTGAGATACCTATTCTCCCTTCCCCAGAAATGACCACCCCCACAGATGGACCTGCACAAAAGAAGGGGAAGATACCAACTTTTATCCATTCAGCCACAGAGTCACTTAGGTTTTTTACCATCTCACCTTATTTCTCCTCCTCCAGTTTGCTCATAATACTGTTAGGCTGTTCATATGGATGACAGAGGAAGTATCTTCTAGGAAACAGGAAGGAAGTAGACAAAAAAAACTCCTGTTCTTTATAACTGTGTAATTAAAAAAGAAAAATGCAAAATTATTTGCCAGTTTATTTTAACTCTGTAGGAGACAGCTAAATGCAAGAAGCAATATTGCTTACAGTTGAGATGTGAAAATCAGGCTTCTGATGGGAAAATAGTTTTTGTGTACATACAATATCACCATTTGTTGTAGAGAAAAGATTCCTTTTATTTGTGTATTTCATTCGTTCCCCCTCTTGTCTCTTTGTCAGAGGGATTTTCACAGAATCACCTAATGATCATAGTTTGAAGGTTCTTCTGAAGGTCATCTTCTCAAACCTGCCAACTGAGGCAAACTCACCTAAAGCCTGTTGCTCTGGACAATGTCCAAACAACTTGTAAATACCTCCACTTATGTAGACTCCACCCACAGCCTCTCTGAGCAACCTGTTCCCATGCACAATCACAGTCAAATTGTGTTTCCTCACATCCAGGAGGAACCTCCTGTGTTTCAGTCCATTCCCATTGCCTCTTGTTCTGTCAGTGGGTACTACTGGAAAGAGCCTGACTCTGTTCTTTTTACACCCATCGTTCAGATATTGGTACACCTTGATGACATCTCTCCTGAGCCTTCTCCTCTCCAGGCTGCGCAGTCCCAGCTCTCATAGTTTCCACACATGTAAAGGTGCTCCAATCCATTCATGATCTTACTGTCCCTTCTCTGGACTCTATCTCCAGTAGCTCTGTGTCTCTCTTGTAGTAGGAAGTCCAGGACTGGATTCAGCACTCCAGAGGTGGCCTTACTGGTGCTGAGGAGAAGGGGAAGGATCAGGTCCCTTGACCTGCTGTCCACACTCCTAATGAAGCCCAGGATACCACTGACCACCATTGCCACAGTCAGTCAGCCTCGGCATATGCTGGTGCCTAGCATTGTTCCTCCCTAGGTAACACCTAGTTCTCCCCTTTTCTGTACTTCTTGCACCTGGAAATACTGTAAATTTTAAAGCTGTACAAAGAAAAGGACACTTAGTTTGGTTGATTCATGGGTTCTAGAACATGAACATTAAGGAATAGAATTTAAATCTCTAATTATTCTCACGTGTATTTTCTTACTTTAAAAGCAGTAAATGAAAGTAATGAACGGCTAGCTATTAGAAAGTAGTATTAACATTTTACTGCTGCTTTTTCATGCATTTGAGATAATTACCAGTATTTTTTCTTTATTACAACCACTAGAAGGCACTCTGCACCGATGTCTGTTCAGAAGGTTGAGCATTGAATCCTGTCCTGGAATTGGGAGGTGACCTGTCTCTGTGCTGTTTCAGGCAAGGTTAAATATGCTTCCACATTCCATGGTGAAGAATGTTGGTGTAGCCCAGCCTATCCCTAGCATCCCCAGAAAAGTAAATTGTTAGAATTTCATGGCTTAATTTGTTCCTGTGTTGTTTCAGTTCCCAAGCTGCTAGCAAGCAATTCATTTTCTAATCCAGCCTGAAGTATTGTTGTTGACAGATCTTTTTTTCTCATTCTTTAAGGCTTTCCTGCCAGAGACAGCTATTCTGTGCTCTCCTCAGAAGTGTTTTTCAGATTGGAAACACACAATATGGCAGGTAGAATTATAGCCCTTTTAGTTGTCAAACTTACAAAGCTGAGGTAAGAAGAAGACAAGGTGTCCAAAGGCTTTTTTCAAAGTGATTTGCCTACAAGCTTCTTCCCTTTCCATGTGTTAACTGGGCTAATAGAGGACGTTTGCCTGTAAATTGTATCCCGTGTAGGTCTGTTTACTCTTACAGCAGTAACAGCTTTACTGTTAGAGATTGCAAAGCCAGTTATGCTTTACAAAAACTCTCTTCTCAACTAAATAACTTGCAAAAAAATCTTGAGGGGCTGGATTTATGTTTTCTAAACCTCATACAATTTTTCTAGTCTCCTCTGGATTGCCTTTTGCCTAAGTTATCGATAGTTAAAGGGTGCCATGTTTAGTATTTTAGGTGAGACTTCATTTGAGCCAAATAGCATAGATTAGTTCCTTTTAATGTTACATACATACAACACTTCTGTCTTTTTAAAAAGAAAAAACCAGTCTGTTAGAGGTTTCACATCTTCATGCAATGCCATCAGTGTCTCTTTGTTTGTGATGTTGCTGTGTGTTGTCTGGCAAGCTGGATCTGATTGCATTGTGTGATTTTTCTTTCCTCAGCTTAATATGATGCACATTTCAGCTTCATGTTGTAATTTCAGGCTGTGGCATATGTAATTTATTACCTCATGGGATGCTTTTTTACTGCTTGCTTGTTAGTTACAGTCCCACTCTTCATCTTTCAATTGCAGGATTGAGATTAACTGGTTTAAGAGCCTACCATGTTTACTGCTTTTGCAACACATTAATAAGTAACTAATAAATTAAGAAGGCTAATTAATTAACCACACCACTATTGCTAATTTGTAACAATAGTGTTTTTCGCATTACTCTACATAATTACCCATAAAGCTCTTCATCATCACTTTTAAATCTGATGATAGGTTACTTCTATGAAGTAAACTTCCTATGCAGCACAAGGCAATATTCCCTTCCACCTACAGTTCCCAT